CATCCTTGTCTATTACATGGATTTCTATGGCTTACTTTATCGCTCTCACGTAACTTCTGATAGATCATCGGTACTTTCCTACACTGTATAGAAAACATGAATATTTTCTTCACTGACGAAGCATGGCTTCGCGTATGAGGTTATGTATATAGCCAAAATTATAGAACCTAGGCCGTAAGAAAATCTTCATACATTTTTAGAAACCGTTCTACATCCCTTAAAAGTAGGCGTTTGGGTGGCGATGTCAAGGCGACAACAGGGCCTATATTTTTGCTGAAAGATATTGAACCCTTATTTTAGAGTAATTTTTAGTAGAGATACATACCTACTGCCAGAGCTGCAATTCATCTTTTGGAAAAATTTTATGATAATCGACTGATTAGTCAAGGGTTGTGGCCAGCGAGATCACCGGATCTAACTCCTTTATATAATTTTCCGTTTGGATATTCGAAAAATACTAATTTTAAAACAGCAATACACATTGAAGAATTAGAAACGGCAATTATTCGAGAAATTAACAATATGACAGAACAGCGATTGCTAAATAAAAATATGCACAGGAGAGTAAATTTTTGCATGGTTAGTGAAGGACATTATTTCGAACATAGTATGTAATGTTTTTATCGCAAATATGGCAAAATAATTTAGTAATTTACGAATTTTAAATCATTTTATATTGCAGTGAAGAGCAATGGTTTGCAAATGTATGTAACTTTTTCGTTGTGCTTTATCTACAGTATGTCCACGGATTGAGTTTACAAGAGGACAAATTGACCAAAAAATGAAAGATACGAAAAAAAGACATTCCCGATAAAAGTTTTTGCTTGTTTAGAAAATACGAATCACGATGACGAATTTCAACTTTGTTGTACAGAGTGGATCAAAACCACAAAAGTGTTATTTTGAGTAAGAATAAACATACCTTATTTTGCAAGATACGAAAAAAGGCACTCTTGATAAAAGTTTTTGCTTTAAAAATGTATAATAGTCACGTTATGAATGCCTTTTTTCGTATCTTGCAAAATAAGGTATGCTTACTCATACGCAAAATAACATTTTTGTATTTTTGTCGCACACTGTATAGCAAAATTGAAGTTCGTCATGGTGATTCAGATTTTTTAAACATACTGTATAATAAAAAATAAACTGTGTATGTTTGTTTTACTCTGTACTTACATAAAAATAATAAATTGTTTTTTTTTGCTTTCATAGTAAAAAATTACAATTTGTTCATTAACAAGTGACGTTTGATAGTTTTTTGCTTTTAATAAAAAAAACTATGTTTCGGAAGTATCTAATACTAAATTATATGTAGGTATTAAATTTAATGTCAATAGTTCATGTTAATAAAGTTTAAAAACAATTTTATTTAATTGAATATACCAACCCCTTCAACCGCTCTGAGGTTTAGGGATTGTCATTTGGTATTACCAACCGTGAACTGTTGGTTCTCAAGTTTATAGATATCTTGTTTTTTTTTAAATATATCTAATGGGAAAGTTTGAAGATAAAGTTAAAACTGGATCTAGCCAAGTGCAAAAAGTCACTTATTTGTAGTAAAAATAGATATTTGTGCACCTATCCTGGAATGACAAATTAACAAATACGATAAAAAACTCTTGCTAGGCTAAAAATTGTTATGTACTATAGTCTGTTGAGAAATGAAAGAGAATAATAAAAGCTCATTATGTATGCAAATCGTAAATAAATGTAGTACTGGTGCTTATATTCAATATTTTTATATTATATATTTTCCGTATAGATGAGGTCTACTTTTAACAAAATTGTAGCAGGTAGTTAAAATTTAATCCCCGACTATCCGTCTTTGTCTATGCCGCTTCAATTTTTCGGTCCATTTCTCTTATAAGTAAACAATATAAAAACAGCATTTCAAAACATGAGGCTACTTTAAGCATCATAACCGGGTTAAGAGGGTTTTTAGTAATTCAAATAAAATTATTCAATATTATTATCAAAATATTTATTTAAATTTAATGAATAGACTTTTATTCCACACAAAAATATATGTATTTTGAAAATTCAAATTATGGTGAGTAAATGTAGTGTTGTATAAATGTACAATAAAGAAAATAAAAAAGTAGGTATATTAAAATTCATCCTCTGAATATTCTGATGAATTATCTTCGTCTCCTAGATTGATAACGATAGGTTCCACAGTAACGTCAATTAAATTATCGAGTTCCCACATTTTCTCCTCTTCTTTTTGTACATGATGTATACATCTTTGCCAGTTATCTGCAGTTACTCGTTCCAAGGAATTTTTTAACAAAATTTTCACGTCACTTAATTTAAACGTCGTATTATTTCGCGCTACATCTCCTTTTACCTGCGCCCAGACTAATTCGATTGGGTTAAGTTCACAGTGATAAGGTGGTAACCGTAGTACCGTTATTTGGCGATTTGTTGCCATTTCATCGATAACATATTTTTTCTGATCTTTATTAAGATTGACAAGTGTCAAAAGTTCCTTTTTCACCATATTTGTTTCAAAAGAAATGTTTTTTCCGGATAACCATTGAATTATATCGGCTTTCCTCCAAGCAGTCGTAGGCGTCCGCTCGGTCTGCCGTGAATGGTAACTGGCATTATCCATGACAATTACAGACCCCGGAGGAATAAGATCCAACATCTGTGTAAAATACTCTTCGAAAACATCTGCGTTCATGTCTTCGTGATAGTCACCTGTATTTTTAGATTCAAATAAAAGTAAACCGCCATCTACAAAACCACTGGCACTACCTATATGTGTCACTATTAATCTTCGCCCTTTACCTGAAGGTGCCTTGAACCCTGTTGAAAGTCCATCCAAAAATGCTTGTCGAAAACTTTTTACATTTTTATCTTGCCATACTTTTGTTACAGTATATCCCTCGTTGACCCAAGTTTCGTCTAGATAATAAATATTCCTCCCTTCGTCACGGAATTTTCTAATTGATCTTAAGTAGGATCTTCGCCAACAAATAATTTCATCTTTATCGATAAGAACTGACTTCCTGTTCTGCTTTTCCCAGCAAAAATTCAACTCTCGTAAGACGGCCCATAATTTGCTTCTACTGATTTTTGGCAAATCGTTGTCCTCTGAAAGTTCACTTAAAATTTTGTTTAGCGTTGGTATTTCTTTTTTAAAATAAAATGAGTGTACTTTTCTGCGAATGACATTTTTGAAGAAATCATCTATAACGACTTTTGACCTCCCTGTAGATGATTTTGGGGGATTTACAGTATCTTGTTCATTTTTTGTTTCCTTTAAAAGTCTGTAGATAGTCGATTTTCCAATCCCTGTCATTTTTGTTAGCATTAGTGTTACCCGATAATTACCTGAAACGAAATATTAGCACGCCCATGGTCGGTTCTTATCTCGGGGTTTTATTACTCTCCTTCGTTTCCAAACAGAGTATAAATAGCTACACTAATAAGATGGTTTTTCAACAATAAATAAAAAATCAGCAAAAATTTTTTTAACGCCTGATTGTTCCTTGTGCAAATATGTTTAAGGCAAGATCGTAACCTTTCTGGAGCCTATTTAAAGTAGATATTTTGTTAACATTAATCAGTATCTACTAATGACTAACTGATATTTCTAACAGTGTATCATTTAGAAATACAGAATTTAACTTAATAAATACCTACTACTTAAATATGTAGAACGCATCAGATGTTCATCTCACAAATAAATAATAAGTTGAACTCAACTCGTAACACATTAGCGGGATATTGTACTTACCCCGTTAGATATTAAAGCAGCGTATAATTCTAGGAGCCTAGGACTTACTTAGACAATTAAAACTAAACCTATAAATCCTCACTTTCTTACAAAACAATCCTTTTGTAGGTACTTAGCATGGTAATGGTGATTATTTTCGTGCCATATTTTACCCATATTCTTACAAACTTATTTCGAACATCTGTGCCATGTTTCATATTTGAATTAATTTGAAATTTATAGCTTTTCGTGCTACCTGTTTGGAGGTAATTAACTGCAGAAACTTGGTTCAAATTCGGATTGTGTTCTTGTTCGAGGGTCGTGTAAATGTTTCTGGGTAGATTAATACAGGCTGTTTAAAATTGTGATGCCATTGTTATTTCGGACACTTGTTAGAGACAGAAAATGATTAAAGATTGGACTAAAGTTGCGTAATTTTATTTTCCGTAGAAATAAAAAAATGTTTTTGATAGTTTTTAGTGTTTTTGAAAAATGGAAAATTCTCGCATTAGAATTTTATCGGTTTAAGATGATCTTAATCAATTTCTGTACGGTAATACAGGGTGAGTTGATTCACGTTTTCAATTTAAACGGTTTATCAAAAGATATTTAAACTTGATTTAACTAAATCTCTTAGAAATAGCCAAACAGATGCCTCAGACCACTTTATCAATGAACTTCAATTACGATTTAACTAAATCTATTATAGTTTGGTTGCTAAGGTATGAAACAACTGATTTTCTGTTGCTAAGGGATTTAGTTAAGTTCTTTGTTCTTTGATAAATCGATTCTCATATGTTAGCACCCAAATTAAATTCTTAATTAAATTACATTTAAATTTACTTTGATAAATCGGTCGCCAATCAATCAATCGTCAGTTCAAAAAAGCCTTGTATTAACATACAGAACGTTAAAAAATTCTAAAGAATTTTAAAGAATATTCCAAAAAATAAGAAAAGTCTCACCGAGTGTTAAAATCTTCCGAACGTGTTAATCAAATTACTTCAAACTTAGTACAAAATATTACCTAAGAGTGTATAATTTGGACTGGAGTCGATAAATGATATAATTCGGGACGGTTGAGCAGTACTTCTACGCCACTGAAGTTTTTGTAAATATTGTAGCATTTTATCAAATAATATTAAAAAGGACCTTCTTTTGTCTTTTCGGTAGGGTGCACCGTTTTCGAGAAAATAGATTTTAAAACTCTTCTTGACGGATTGTGTTTTAAGATTTACATAAAAAAAATATATTAAGATTAAAGAAATACGTACTATTCTGGAAAATAATTTATTGTATACACTTTAAAACAACATTCAGAACTACATAGTACAATTAATGTTACCTTCATTCCTTCAAACCTTCATTTTAGACTAGATATCAGTATTTTCTTTCTAACAGCATTACTATAACCTTCTTTGTACTTATACCAAATATCGTTGCTGGGAGTACTGCTGCTTTTCCCTGAAAAAAAAAAGAAATAATAATAATATAAATATGTATACATATAATGTATACAGTTTTTCACGGTAAGTGGCCTATTAATTGTTTCAGAAAACTGTCAATTTGTTGTTAGTCTCTTGCAGTAACAGTTTAATTTAGTGTTTATAAGAAATGGAAAACAATACATATTCAAAAGCTGATATTTTAAATTTATTATTCATTCACGGACGTTGCAATGGGATTATAAACAGAACATGTACAGTTTTTAATGAGACATATCCAAATTTACCACCAATGAAGCAGAAATCAACTAGAGTATGGTCGAATTTGTGCAGAAACAATTTTACCAAAAGAGAAGAATATTTTGTATTTATTTATTTTTTCATAATTATTAACTACATATATGAAATGCGTTGTTTCATGTTGTTGCATCTTTTAAATAATGAGGGAGTATATTTACAAAAAAAAAAAGATTTCATTCCAGTGGGATACTATTATTAGTAGGTAACTGTAAGTACAATAAAGAACAAATAAGTATCCTTTCATTAATAAAACAATGAAATGTAAAGTAACCAAAATTTTAAATTATAGTATCCTCTCAACTTCATTTCAATATCATAAAATTATAATAATGCATTTATTAGTTATTTGAAATTATTTAGCTTTGGTAATTTAAAAACTTTTATGACAACATTGAAAATTAGAGAAAAATTCTAAGAAAACCAACCGAAATCATTTCATTAATTGTCTGTTTTAGTTGCAAAATACGAAACCATAGAAATACACCTAATAATTTTAATTCGCGGTGAATGTTCCATAGACATAAAATAAATTCAAAATATCTTCATTAGAATAATTTTATTTTCTATATGATGCAAAAAATACAAAATTCTATTTGTATTTAAAATTTTATCGGTTTTAAGTTTTCAAAATGTTACGTAAAAGATGTGACATTTAGTAAAATTCAGGTAATTATGATAGCGGAAGGTAGTGCATCTTATATTCCTTGTGCATTTCGAAAAGCAAGTGAAAGCTCCCAGAACGAAGAAAGATATAAGCAATTTTCGAAACGTTTGCATCTGTAAAAGTTTTTATAAAATGTCGATTATCTCGAAAACGGTTAGATTTAGGTACAGGGTAGTTTTAACATTTTGACTTATTTTTAATTTATCTTGTCGATAATGCGATAACATATAGGGTATTCCATTTAAAATAACGAAGCTTCTTCTGGTAGCACCGGAAGTGATGATATTATAACGTTGATGGCATTATTTTTATCGAAGAGAACATATATGATAACTCCCATAAACAAAATTTCAGAATCATTTTGTCTTTGGTTCCTCTGAAACGTTTAATAGGTCACTTACCGTGAAGAACCCATATGTATACATATACAGAGGTATTAATAAATTTTATTTGATGTAAGAAAATAAATTGATAGCAAGATATTTTTGGGCAAATAAATTTAAAATACATAAAAATACTAATATATTAATTATAATGTCTTTATATTCTTTTTTATTTTAAACTAAGAGATATATTTTAACATTTTGTAATAACGTAAGAGAATCGCTGATGGAATGACGGGCTTAATTGCAAAATTGTTATTTCAAAACGTCTAGTGAGAATATTAATTTTAATTAACATTGTTAAATCGGTTTGAAGAGCAGAATCAACAGAATCCTGAGTATGACAATGAGATTGACTAAGTCTGTTGTAATTAACGTCTAGCTGCAGTCAGTGGCGTCCTCAGAATTGGAAAAACTGACAAACTGATTGGTTCCTATCTAGTAATGTAATGCAAACACAATTTTAATAAAACATGTTTACAACATTAGAATATACTAAGAATTTCACATGAAAATTACTAAATTTTTTAATTCTGAATTCTGCACTATTTTATTAAATTTTATTAAATAGATATATTTTAATCGCAAGTCAGTTTGATTAAGATAAATATCCACGAAAGTTAGCTGTCAAAGATCCGACCGGAGCTTCGAATTGTACCTTAGCAAGAAGTAGCAAATCTTTATCACTTTATCACGAATATTTGATGGTAGTTTACCAAACATTGCAAGATAAGTGGATTAAAAATACACATCGGCACAAAAAAATGGAAGTGGATTCAAAATACCCAGTGGCTCAAACAAGGACCAGGATGAAGTAATATACTCAATGGCTCAAGGAGCAAGAGGATACGAATCAGAGACCAATAAAAGTGAGTTAAAATTCTTATTTTAACTCACTTTATTCTCACTCACTACTTCTTAGTAATGTTCGTAAAGTTAGTATAAGTTTAGTTAGAGGTTAGGGAGAAGAGGTTTTTGATCTGAATATTCAAAATTTTTCCAAACTGTTTTTTTACCAATAAAATTTTAAATATAAAATATAAAAAGCAGATATAAATAAAAAAATTATAATTTAAAATAAATTCTAAAAGTGAAAATTAGATTCAAAGATAAACTTATTTATTTCTTCTGGGACTTCTGCCTGTGCACTATTTAGGTATTTATACAGGGTAGCGCATCGAAAACGTACCGCAAGGCATTACAGGGTAGTAAAGAACTTTTCGGCAAAATCCAAAAACAGGTCAAATTTGTTTCTGAGGGGGACAACTTTTGGCTCAAAAAGCATACCAAAATCTTCAACCCCCTAAGTGGGGGTGCTATCCCCTAAATTTTTTCAAATGGGAATGGGGGTCAAGTGGGGGGTCATTAGAAAGGGCTTTTAATTCTCTATACATCGATTCTTACTTTTTGAAAATCGATTCATTATTTTAGAAAATATGCAGCTTTGAAAATACGAACAATATTTTTGACGAGAAATGCGAAAATCGATTTAATTTTACTTCAAAACTTACGGTATTAGTCAAGTAAATGCTGAAAATGTTGTCCGCCAACTTGCATACAATGATACAGGTTGTCTTCAAACCGTTGTCGAACATTCTGGAGCACTTGCGGTGTTACTTCGCGACATACATTAATGATTCGTCCTCGCAGATCTTCCAAGGTATCAGGTGGAGTGCTGTAAACTTTGCTTTTAATGTGCCCCCAGAGAAAGAAATCTAAAGGATTTAAGTCGGGTGACCGAGGGGGCCACTCAATTGCACCTCTTCGTCCTATCCAGCGTCCTGGAAACGTCTCATTTAGGTAATTGCGCACATTGAGCGAGTAATGTGGAGGAGCTCCGTCTTGCTGGAAAATCAGTTCGTGTTCATTGTAAGCAGGGTCGTCCTCTATGATATTTGTTAGAGCTGGGTCGATGACATTTTGTAGTAAATCCAAGTACATATCGCCTGTCAAATTTCCAGGAAGGAAAAAAGGACCTACAATGGAATTTCCAAAAATACCTGCCCATACATTCAACTTCTGGGGGTGTTGGGAGTGTGTCTCATGGAAAATCCTTGGATTGGTATCAGCCCAGTAACGACAATTATGGCGATTCACTAAACCATTCAAGAAGAACGTACACTCGTCCGAAAAACACACATTAAAGAGGAAATTATCGTTTATCGCTCGTTCAGTCATTATTTCGCAAAATTGCAAACGACGATCAAAATCGTCTTCATTTAGCTCTTGCACTAGCCGAATCTTATAAGGATGGAATTTGTATTTTTTTAATATTCGTTGGACACTTGTACGACTCACTCCTGTCGCAGTAGCCAATTGCATTGTACTCAGCGTACTATCCATTGCCACTTGCCCCAATACCGCTATTTCCGTAGGTTCATTTAGTACCGGATTTTCAACCTGCCTCTTTTTGTTATGAACGGAGCCAGTTTCGCGAAATTTGGCCACCAATTCGCGAACAATTTTTCCAGACGCATGTTTCTCAGGATGCCGTTGGTTGAACAGTTCGGCGACCCGATTTCCGCATTCATTGTTTTTGAAAAAAAGCTCAATAATTTCTACTCTTTCTGGAATTGAGTACACCATAATTAATCAATTTAAAAGACTCGGCAGTATTGGTACTCTTCAACTACAAGTCACAAGACAGTTATCTAGCAACTTCTTGTGGCCTATCTAAATACGAAACAAAAAGCGGACAATTTTTTGCTCACCAAAATCAGGCTAAAGAATTCGCAAATCAGAAAAAAAAACAGCGAATTCTTTTGAAGGAATTTACCAAGCTAATACCGTAAGTTTTGAAGTAAAATTAAATCGATTTTCGCATTTCTCGTCAAAAATATTGTTCGTATTTTCAAAGCTGCATATTTTCTAAAATAATGGATCGATTTTCAAAAAGTAAGAATCGATGTATAGAGAATTAAAAGCCCTTTCTAATGACCCCCCACTTGACCCCCATTCCCATTTAAAAAAATTTGGGGGATGGCACCCCCACTTAGGGGGTTGAAGATTTTGCTATGCTTTTTGCGCCAAAAGTTGTCCCCCTCAGAAGCAAACTTTACCTGTTTTTGGATTTTGCCGAAAAGTTCATTACTACCCTGTAATGCCTTGCGGTACGTTTTCGATGGGCTACCCTGTATATAAATGAAATATTTGAAACTTTCCTTCACAATTTTGTATTTTTCTATATTTATATATAGAGGACTGGTACCATGAAATCTTCGCACCACCACTGGTTCGAATTTGGTTTAATTACCGGATTTGTTGGAGCGGTAACTCATTGGCAATTGCCTTCAGATAGAATCTGAGCCATTCCTTTCGCCGAGCCGCCATCAACTTATTGTTTGCCAAGAGAAATTGCAATTCTACTTAATGCCTTATTGCCCCATTTAGTGTTTGCACTGGGAAGCGCCCGATATTATTACAGGCAATATTTGAATTAATTCAGGACGGGTCTATTAGGATGGATGTAATTAAAAACCCGATAAATTAATGAACGTCGAACTGCGTGACTTAAAATTAAAATTATTGTTCTTAAATCTACAATGTATTATTAAAAGAAGAATAATATGACATCATTAATTCAAATAATAGGTGTAATATAATTAGTTTATACGTATGGTGTTTTGTGATTGGTTTTTGAGATATTAAAACAAAAAAAAATTGAAGTGTTAA